CCGGGGGGGACACCTGCACCGAAGGAGGCCGATCCCGTCGACCTCGGCCCCGAGGCGCCTCGCCGAGGCCTTCTGCAGGCTGGTGGCACCGAGCCATGCTCAGGCCACTCCGTGTCGCCAAACTCGCTGCGACGGTGATACACGCGCCCGCTTGACGCCCAGCCGAGCAGCCGCTTCTCGGCACTTGTGCTTGGCCTCGTCCTGCTGCTCCTGAGGCCCCTTGGCTGCTTTGCGCAACTCCTCGCCGGCCTTGGCGAAGGCCGCCTGGCGCTCGCCGAATCCTCCCTTTGGAGCAGGTCGAGGTCGATCTCGTCGTCTTCGGCGGCCATGTCAAAACCGCCCTCGCTATCCCCGTCAGGAGCGTCGTCGCCGGGAGGCACAGGAGCGGGGCGGCCCGCCTGAGCACGCTGGGGCAACGTGTTCTGAGCTCGCCTATGATAATCTCCGTGAGCTCGTTCCACTCCGCCGCACCCAGGAAAGCCCGCAGGCCCACGTCCCCGCGCCCTCGGGCGCAAGCTCGAACGTAATGGAAGACGAGGGCGGCTCTTGGGAAGCGGCCTCCGTGGTATCCGCAACGAGAAGGGCCGTGCGCTTGCGCTCCGCGTCGAGCGCCAGCACCTCCCCCCTCTTGGTCTGCAGAAGCGCCTGCTGAATCTCCAGGGCGTTCTGCAGCTCCTCGATCCGCTTGGTCTTATCCTGCACCCCAAGCTCCAGCTTGTCACGCTGCTGCTTCGCCCAGAACAAGCACTGGGCAGTCCGCCTGCGAGCAGTCACTGGCGCGAGAACTACCTTCTGCAGCTCACGAACCTGCTTGATATTCTCGCTCGTGGCCGCGCGGACTGGGTCTCCTTAGCCTCCAGGAAGTGTCTTGAGGACCGTCTCGTACTAGCTGAGCTGCGCCGCCAGCTTCTCCCGCTTGACCTTGTCGCCATCAGCCTCCGAGAAGGGGATAGGCTGGCAACCGCTCCCTTTTCCTTCCATGGCGGCGGTTTCGTCTTAGAGTCTGACCCCCGAGCCAAGGGGGCCTGGGACGCACCGCCGCCGCCGAAGTGGTCCTTGATGGGTTTTTCTATCGCAGCCAAGCACTTTGCAGCGTCGTCCTGCTGCCGCGAGGTCTTGGTCTGGTTGTTGCCGCCGCCGCCCTTGAGAATCTCGGCATGGGCAGACCAGGCAGCATTCTTGATCCGAGCTGGCGCTTCGCTCCCGCACTCACAGCGGACTCGCGACGCCCAGTTCCCCAGAGCAGCGCATCCGCCGCAGCTCCATGTCGGCCGCCGAAACCCGCGGAGGATCGCTGGCGTCGGCGGAAGCAGCGCCATGGCGGCGGCGCCTTGGTCGTGTCTACTGGTGCTCCTTCAGGAGGAGCGGTCGATCGAATACCAAACTTAGCTCGCTTGGGCCGAAATGGCGACGGAGGAGGAGGAAGAGGAGGAGGAGGAGTTTTCTTCCCCCCCCCCCGAAGATCGCACACACGACAGTGCGCAAGCGGTGGCCCGTACAGGGTTGGCCAATCCCGCCGTCACGTAGATGCCATTGGTACCAACGATGGAGAACTACTGGCCGTACGCCCGGCGCAAGGAGACCATGGAACGACGGAATCATGCACCATGAAAGGAAGAATACCGTCCTCGTACACGTCGCACAGCTGGTTGGTCGCCTCCGGCTGCTGGAGAAGATCCGACGACCCAACGCTGCCCCACCCGAAGACTACAGGACACCCAGGGCCATCAGCAGCACCTTCAAAGTCACGGACAACCGCGGCACGGGCCCTCTGCGCGGCCTTGCTCCAATAGGAAGCGGCCGGGCTCTGCTCATCGATGCGTTTCCAAGCCCAGCCCGGGAACTCAGCCCACTCATCAAGGGCCGCCTCCCTCTGCGAGTACTCGTCGAAGTCCACCCGCGTCCGCCGAGGAGAGGAGCGGGCCGCCATGTAGAGCTCAACAGGCATCCGTGTGCGCTGCAGCCAGACATGCTGGTCACAGGTAGCACCAGGGACATCCAGGCCCTCAGGAAGCGAAACAAGAACAGGAGGGCAAGGTCGACGGCGAGGACCCAGAGGAAGACGCCCAAACCCGTGGAAAAACAACCATACAACTACGAGCACCGCCATCGCAAGCATCATGAGGACCATCAACAACTTGCCAAGGAGCTTGATAAAGCTCAACACCATCAGCAGTTCATTCTGCAGCACGAATAGGGCCACCACCAGACCGAGAGAGACCCAGTTGAAAACGTTCGACGGCCAGAAAAACGTCAGTCACACCACCACGAGCACCTTCGCGGCCAGGGCCATCATGAGCAGGAGCTCTACCATGAACATCGTCATCCGCAGAAGGAAGAACGTCGCCATCATGGTCACAAGCACACTCACGGTCCACACCGACCGCAGCTCCGTCTGCCTCAGCCTCAGGGGCGGGGCCACCAGAATACAGAGGACGACCCAAAAGAAAGTGATCGAGTCTCTCCATGAGATCCGTAAGCATTCCACAATCATCATTCCCACGACTGTCAGCACCAATCGCAGTACCAGAACTCTCTCTCCACCATCACTCGTACCCACCGACGAACCAGCAGCAACGACCAGGTCGGGCGTGAGGACCTCCGCAGTCTCATACACCGGCGCGGGAAGAAGAACAGGAGCGTCCTTGTTGAAGGGGAAGGGCGGGATCGTCGGCAACTCGAGGGAGCTGTACCCGACAACCTGTAGACCAGCGGGAGCATCGGCAAGACCAGCACCGTTACGATGAGGGCGAGGCCGAGGACGCTTAGCTTCAGGCCCACCATCAGCTCCACCACTGCGTCCGCTGCAACCACGACTCCCGCCAGGACCAGGACCGCCTCCAGCAGAACCGTCGTTGCCAATGTCATCCTCACCATGGGAGTCGTCACGTCCAAGATGAGGAAGGGGATCAGCAGTGGCAGGAGAAGGACGATACGTGAGAGAAATATGCGATAGGCCATTCGAGCTCTCATGCCCGTGACCAACCACTACAGCATGATCCGCATGATCAAGGAGAAAGGACGTCAACGAAATAGCATCACAGTTCAGAATACGAGGGTCGCGTCCAGGAAGAAACTTGATGTGCCACTCTCCAGGGCCCCTGGCTCCCGCTTGCCGGGTGCGACGAATGGCCAGGGGGATGTGTACTGCGAGGCACGCTCGGCCTCACCCTCGTTCAGGATCGAAGCCCATGCATGTGCGCCTGTCGTGCAGACAGTCTTGAGCGCTCGAGACTAAACCTCGGACCCCTGAGCACGCGGATACCTGAGCCCAAATGCCAACTGTCTCGACGGTGTGTGGGCGTACCTGATCGGAAAATGAAGCGAAACTTTCCTGCCGTGGCATTCGGGGGGGCAGGGAAGAGGGGAGGGGGGGAGCGCACATTACGGCCCGAGGCACGTGCGCGGACGAGGGGGGCGGCAAGGGGGGCGTGTTGTCTCCGCGCTGAGCCAGCCTGTCGGCCAGTGCACGTGATCACCCCGTCGCGGCCTCGCACGCCGAGGGCTACGAGGCCTGGGGGATCCCCCACGCGCCCAGACACCCGCCGACCTGATCCTTTCCCCTGCGCGCCCTGAGAGGTCCCGACCCCTTCCACGGGTTCAATTTTCCCGCCCCCGATCCATCTTTGGTGGCCCCGCGGCGGGCCAAACGGCCCCCTGGGGCCGAGATCGACGAAAAACGCTCGGACTGCAAAGATCCAGTCCTAAACTTCGGCCTCCCCCAACCGTGTGCTGAGGGACCGCGCGGTGACCTCGGAATCCCCAAGGACCTCACCGCGCGATCCGTCACTGAACAGTCTTGGGATCTCGGGGGCCCCAGTCGCTCGAAACGTCCTCGGAGAACGACCCGAGTCCCGAAACTGCGTGGCGATCTTGAATACCACTGACTCACCGCGCCGTGTGGTCACCACACCTTTTGGGGCCCCTCATGCACCCCCTTGGAGCGACGCCCCCCCCCCGAGCTTGCCGGCATGGCCGGGAGCGCTGCCCGCGCCCGGCTGGGCCTCGGAGGCGCTCCCGTCCCCCGAGCCCCCGCGGGAGCATTCGCGTGCTCTCTCGAGCACGGGTGCCTTGGGCTGCCAGGGCTGCGCGCTCTCGCCCTTCGCGCGATGCGTGACTGCTCCATATAAGACGAGCTCTCTCTATAAGACGAAGCCAGGGCGAAGATTACATCGGGTGAGGATAAATCGAGAATCTCTGAGATCCGGCGGCTCTGGAGGATGTCGTCTCGGGCGCCGCGGCCTTCTCAGAGCGTTCCAGGACGCTCCGAAAGCGTTCCGGAAAGCTCTGGAACGGACTTATCCTCGTCCTTGCCCCGTCCGGCTGTACCCAGACATGCTCGCATCGTGAGAAAATCACGACGAGAGGTTTTTGGTAATTTTCGGCCTGTGGGGGCCCTCGTCGATCTGTCCCCGATGGCTTGGCCATGGAGGCAGATGCACTCCGGTCCTGGGCCGAGGGAGGGCCTGGCCAGCGGCGGTGGCCGTGTGTGCAGATCTTGCCGCCCGAGCCCTTCGCGCCCTCGTGCTCACAGGCCCGAGCTGGATCAGACCGCGAGATCGGGTCGGGTCGGGAACGGGTCTAGACTCTAGACCGCCAGCGGATCGTCCCAGATCGGATCGAGCTCGGGGCGGGTCGGAAACGGGTCGGATCGCCAGCGGGTCGTCCTGCATCGGGCCGAGATCGGATCGCCGTGCCCACCCAGCAGGCGAACCGATTGACGTCGCATCGAATCGAAGGCGGCCCTGGCTGGCCCCAGCCCGCGAGGCGCGAGGCGCGCGGCGCGGCCAGCTCCGCGCCGTTGAGGCGGGCCAGGCTGCGAGCGCAGGCGAGGGCCCGTCGTGCTCTCGCGCACGACGCGCGCCGCCGGCCGCCGCCGCAGGTCGCCGTCGCAGCCGCTCTCGTCGCCGCAGGTCGCCGCCGCCGGCCGCCGCCGCAGGCCGCCCCTCGGTCTCCGACGTGGCGCCCCCTCTGCCGCGGCGGGCGGCGCGCGCCGGGGCCTCTGCCGGCAGCTCCGGGGGGCACTCCGCGACGAGCGGGCCTGCGCGGCGCGGGCGCGCTCGCCGTGCAGGCCTTGCGGGCCACCCGCGCACCCTGGGCGACGCGAGAGCGCGCAGTCATGTGCGCGCTCGCGCTCCGCACCCCTGGGGAGGGCAGCTCTCCGGCGCGGGCCGCGGTGCGCGACGCGCTCTCCGCGCTCCCGCGGGCGACCTGAAGGTGTGTCGGGCGCGAGGCCAGAGAAGCTGTACTGAACTGCAGAGGTCGAGGGCCGCCGGAACAGAGCCAGGGCAGGTTCGGCTTCACGCAAGAATGAGCCTTGGCAAGAGTGACCTTTGATGCGCGGCTTCGGGGGGGAAGGGGGGGGCAACAGCAGAGCGTGCAGACTCGCTGGTATCGCACCGCACCGCTCAGACGCGCAGCCCACACAGCGGGAGGACCGCACTGCGTCGCCACTGCATCGGCGGTGCATCGGCGACACGGCGAGACCCTCTGGTCTGGCGGCCCCGTCTGCTCCGACCCTGCAACCGCGGGCAGCCTGGGCTCAGGACTTCTCCAGGGGTCTCTTGGCGGGGCCTCCGGGGCCCAGCTCGTGCAGCGTCGGGCCGCACGGTAGGTGGAGAGGTCCGGGTCACCCAAATTCGCGCCTCGCGAAGCGCAACTGTCTTGACTCATGACTGGCGGCTCGGCATCTGGAGGCCGACTGGGGGCCTGAGGGCCGTCAGAAACGGCTCAGGATGAAGAGAGGGTTCTGGGGAAGGGGTCGAGAGCTCCAGGGGTCTGCCGACTCGAAGAACTCGAGCCGTCGGAGGGGCCCTCGTGCTTTCGCGCGGACCTCTGGAGAGGGGCAGCTCTCTGGCCCAGACCGCGGTGCGCAATTACCTGGGCGCCCCCACGGGCGACCCAGGGAAATTCTGTCCAGAGGGGCAGAACGCCCAGGCTTGATCATGGTTGCCAGCGTGGGCCCCAACTGGTATCTTGTTGTACTGTGGATGTGAAAGCTATGAGGTACAAGCGATATGGTGCAACGTATGCTGTGCAATCTATGTAGCGCCATCAATGGGTACACTCTGTGATCTGATCTATACCGTGCAGCACGCGTCGTGCAATCAACCGTGTGGTGAAATACATATGGTGCAGGCTATATGGTCTAAGCCATGCGGTGTAAGCAGTGTGCTGCAAGCTACGTGGTGTAAGCTATGCGGTGCAAGCTACGTGAAGCCTATGCGGTGTCAGCTTTGTTCATCGGATGGCATGCGCCCACGAGGGGCCCACAACCAGCCACGGGCGGCAACGAGGCGAAACCTCGGCACACAGATCAAGCACACGAAGTGCCCACGAGGCGCCCAGGGGCGGCACCGTGGCGAAGTCTCGGTGCACGTATCCAGCACACGACGTGTCTACGAGCGGCAACGTGGCGGCATCTCGGCACGCCCATCCAGCACACGGAGCGCCAGCGAGGCGCCCGCGGGTGGCCACGCGTATCAGCGCGACGAAACCTCGGCACACCACGAGGCGCCCACGAGGCGTCCACAAAGCCGCCACCGGGCGAAGCCTTGGCAAACCTACATGGCGCACGGAGCGCCCACGAGGCGCCCACGGGTGGCAGCACGGCGAAACCTCGGCACTCCCATCCAGCGCACGGGGCGCCAACGAGGCGCCCACCGCCAGCGCACTCCCTCGGCACTCCCGTCCGGCGGCAACGTGGCGAAACCTCGGCACACCCACGGTGCGCCCAGGGGCAAACACTGCACAAAGGACCCCTACATGCAAGCACTGCTGGCAGAATGTTGGAAACAACCACTGAAGGCTGGTAGTGTTCAGCGGGCCAGGGTGTACATCACTACGGGGTGAACGAGCCCTTCATCAGCCGTCCAGGTGAAGTTCAGTCGAGGTCCTGAGCTGACAGCGAGGTCCTACACCTTTACCTGCGGGACCTCTGGGTGCGCAGGGGGCCGAGGACCCTGGGCCCTCCAAGGCAGGACGCCCCGAGAGAGTCCGTGACTGAGGGTCCTGCGCGAGTGGGGCACCAAAGTCCGCGCTGTCGAATGCTGCTCCGCTACCTCCCCAGGAAGCATCGCCTAGCACCCCACCAGACGATAGAGGCTTAGATGTTCACATGGACTCAAGCTTGAGTGTACCTCTCGTTCGTTTGCAGGTGGACTGGCGAGCACAAAGCTGCGTACCGAAGCGAAGTTCAACTACCTCCACAGGGAGCAAAAGGAAGGAGAGGGAACAGGGGCAAACAGGGCAGGAGGAGAAATGGCGGGAGGGAAGGGAGGTAGGCGGGAGAGAAGATTTGAGGGGGAACGACTGGTGATTGGGGAGAGGGGCTTGCTTCACCGCAGGGGGCTCCTTCGCCCCGCACGCTGGCGACGGCACCTGGATGCTTGAGGGGCACCCTCTTGCATCAGCATCGTCAGACCTATCCCCATCCCCAGTGGGCCAAAACTCATTTGGGAAAACCAAGAGGTACCGATACCGCTACTCCCCGGACCCCTCCCGGGGTGTACTCTGACCAGAATTTCGACGCGAATCCAGCGGCGGCGACGAGGGCCTCCCAGGAGGCCCAACAAGGTGGAAACTAGGAAAGTGTACCAGTATGGGTGCCTTTTTCCTTCTCCGATCCTCGGCGCCACCGACCTACCCCCCCCCCAAGGTGGGGGACGGATGCCGCAAAACCTTGCGGAGGGGGACGTGTATAACCATCTGGGAGCGGGGGGGGTGGACGATCGGCCACCGGGGCCAGGGCGCTCCCAGCGGGGATGCTAGAGGAAGCAAGAGACTTGCCGCTACCGCCACTCCGCCAAGCATCTCCTGGGGCGCAGTCGGACCAGATTTTCGAAGAGATCCCGGCCGTAGCGGCGAGCCCCCCCCCCCCCCGCACAAGCAGCGACATCGAAATCCGTTCTATCCCAGGGGCGAGGATAGGTCCCAACGATGCTGATTGATGTTGCCATCCCTGGCGGTGGACCGCGACTGTCAAGGGGGAGGCGGGCGGGGGCCAGGGCCAGCCGCGCAGCACGCCGTGGAGGCAGCGGAGGAGGCCAGTGCAGGTGGTTCTCGTGCTGGGCAGCTGGCGGGGGGGGGACGCCGCGGAGGTCGTGCTGAAGCGCCCGCTTTTCTGTGGCAGGCGGGGGGGGCAGCGAAGCGGAGCACTCCGCACCTACCAGACAGGCGAACAGCGCGCCCGCCTCCAGGAGGAGCCCTCCAGAGGATGGCCGCGATCGGGGCAGAGTTTGCCTTGCGCTCGGTCGCGCCCACCCCATCTGCACACAACGCTGGCCCCCGAGTACGACCCAGCAGAGGGAGGGATGTGTTCGCATGAGGTGCGATGCCGCGCCTTGCCCTTCACTCCGCTGCCGGTGCGTAATTCCCCTGCCTCGCCCTTTGACGCGTTGCCAAGGGCTTGTCTGTACAATATCCAACCCTCGGCGATCTCCGAGTATCCAACCTCAGATGCCCGTTTACGCCGCGACGCCAAGATAACCCATCCTTGCCCTCGCCCTGGCGGTGTCGCAAATTTCGAGGCTCGGAAGTTGAGGTCGATGCCGACGACGATCACGATGCTGATGATGGTTATGCTGACGATGAATCGGATGATGATTACGACAGGGACAACGACGATGATGACGATCGTTATGGTGATCATGATGATGGCTGCGATGGTGATGATGATGCTGCTGATGATGATGATGATGATGATGGTGGTGATGATGATGATTATTATGCTGATGCTGATGCTGCTGCTGATGATGATGATGCTGCTGCTGCTGATGATGATGATGATGATACTGATGATGATGATGACGATGCAGATGATGAAGATGAGGGGCTCGGTTAATAGACAGATAGGGGGAAATAGAAGAGACAGAGAAACAGAGAGAGAGAGAGCGGGAGAGAGAGAGAGAGAGAAAAAGAGAGAAAGAAAGAGAGAGAGAGAGAAAGACATACATACAAACAGAGAGAGAGAGAGAGAGATAGAGAGAGACAGAGAGAAGGCTCGGCCTATTCGCTCCCGTTTCTTCCGAGCCCTCACCCGTTTCTTCCGAGCCCTCACCCAGGAAGCGTCTGCTCACTCGCGCCGTCATCCGTCCGCCTGGCCAGTGCATATCTGGAGCGTGCGCTCTGGCCCGGCGGCCTTGCCTGCTCCCCCCTCCCCAAAGTCGGAATCAAGATGGCCCCAAGGGGCCCGCCAGGGCCCCCGAAGTGCCCCCACGAGGCTCTCAGAACAATCCTGGAGGGCCGCAGGAGGCCCGCAGGAGAGCCCACTGGGGACCCCGACGCCGGGGCTTCAGACGGCCGCAAGAGGCTCCTTTTCATTATCCTCTTCCTCTTTGTCTTTATCCCCCTACTGCCTTGCTGCCTCCTCCTCCTCCCCCTCGACTCCTCCTCCCCCTCCTCCTCCTCCTCCTCCTCCTCCTCCTCCTCCTCCTCCTCCTCCTCCTCCTCCTCTCTTCCCCTCCTTCCTCCCCCCCTCTCCCCCCCTCCACACTTTCCTCCTCGTCGCCGTTGTCGTCGTCCTCGTCGTCCTCTTCGTCGTCATCTTCTTCATCGTTGTTCGCCGCCAGTGTGACGGACGCCCTGCGCACAGATCTCAGTCCAGCTGCCCGTTGTTGCTCCCCATCTTCTTCGCCAGCGGTGCGTAGGTCCCCGGCGGGGGCCTCCTCGCGGGTAAGTCGGCCACCTCGCGGGGAGGTGTCCCGAACCTCTCCTGGGCTTGCGAGGAGGGAACTTTTGCCATGGAGGAAAAAGGTCCGGGCGTTGGGACCGTCCCGTGACCTTCCAGGCGATCCCCTACTTTTCATCAAAGTGACACCACTAAAAGTATGTGTGTGTCGCGCGGCAGGGGCGCACCGATCAAATTGTGAGCTCTCTCTCTCTCTCAATATATATATATATATATAAGCACCGAGCGCGCGGTGTTATAGTTCTTGTTGGCGCAAGAGGAGTAACATGGCCAACGCCCGAAGTACACTTCTCCCCGACATGCGGCACGCGCGCAGGCAGGGTTCAGTCGAGAGCACAGGCAGCTACGATTTACGCTCTTTCCAGATGCAGCGCGCGGCGAAACAAACAACGGCGCGCGCGCCTGTGACGGTGCGCTTCCGCGAAACGTCATGGAAAAACGAGCGTTCCACAGGGCCGCCCGCGGGTCGCAGGGTCCGCAATGACGCAGTGGCACGCCTGTGCCCCAGGGCCCCGATCCGACCCATCGCGGGGCCAATCGTCAGCAGCGCGCCCCCCCTGTCGGAACACCGGCCGCCGCCCCCCCCAGCTGCCACGGGCGGGCCCGGGCCGCGGGCCGCGGCCTGCCCGCGAAGAGTCGCCGGGCGCTGCCGAGGCGAGCGCCAGCTCGCACGCGACGCGGCATCCTCGGGAAAAGCTTCGGCGTCCGTGCGGGGCAGTGCCCGAGCGCGCCTGTGTGCCAAGGGCTGCCTCTCGGGTGCCCGAGCGCGCCCCCGTGGCTCCGCGCGCGCGCGCGCGGCCGCGCCCCGTTCGCGCCCAGCCCGCCTGTCACGGCGCGGGGGGGCCTCGCAGGGGGCGAGACCGCGTTCGCGCGCGCGAGTGCGCAGCGACGCGATGCGCGAACAAAAAAAGGAAGGCGGCACGCGCCCCGCCCGCTCTCGCCACGCACGCCGACATTTGAGATCCTGGCGTCGCAATTTTTTCACAATGGGCGGTTTCTGCTCAGTTTCGGGCCTCGGATCAATCACAGATCGATCCGGATCGAAAAATGAAGCAGAAATATAGGGTCTAGGGCTCCAGTCCTCAGTTGGGCGCGCGCGCTGACATTTAGGCGACGAAAAGAAACGCGCCTTACGCGAGATGGTGTAGCGACCGTAGGTGGTGGCTTTCGCGGGCCGCCGGCGCGGCACGCTGCACTGGAGACGAGGGCGCGTACGAGCGAGCTTACGCGGGCAGCTTACGCGCCAATGTCGGCGCAGACGGCCCCGTTTTTGTTGCGTCGCTCATTCGGGCGACGTGCACATGCGCGCGGCGGGCGCGGGTGGAATTCCACCCCGATCTCCGCTTCAAAACGACTCGCTGCACAGCGCCCCGCAGCACTCGTGCATCCCGGCGGGCAGGCCAGCATCAAGCCGCCGACGCGCTGGCGGGGGGGCCAGAAGCAGGGCGCAATGACTGGCCATGCCCCGTCTCGAGGCGTGACCCAGACAAGGGCCGGGGCGCTGAGGTCTGCGCGAGGCCCTTAACACGCAAGAAGCGTGCGATGTAAGAAACCCAAGCTTCCTTGGTGAGCATTCCGTGTACGTGGCCATCACGAGGCGCTCTGGCTGCTTTCGGCCCCAATTGAATCCTGGTGTGGGCGCGTCGCCGAACAGCGCCGCGCGAATTCTGGCGCCGCCAGGCGCGACGCGGCCCGCGGGAGCGGCATGGAACTCATAGTTACGTGGGTCCGCGGCGCGGGGAGCACAGATGCGCTCCAGCGAATGACCGGGCGCACCCTGCGCCGCCCGCGGCGCAGACCACGGCGCGGGACGCTGGCGAAGCGCAAGGCCGCTGGGCGACGGCGTTGACCCCGCGAGTCGAGATGAAAGCCGACGAGACAGAGGACAAGCGACTATCCCCCTGCGCCCCGACCCCAAGGAAATGAGACAGGGAAGTACCCCTGCTGGAAACGAGCATGAGCATTGGCCAAACCAGGATTTGTCTTCTATATGTAGCTGTACTCTTACAGATATTTTTATTTATAGGGAGAGAGAGAGAGAGAAAGAAACACAATATTTCAAGTGAAATTGCACAGGACAAGCAACTCCAAGTGTAACATGACCATCTCTCGTTGCAAGCAAGCAGGGCCCGCAAGGAGAAACCTGTTCGACCCCCCTGCCTTGCGACCCGCAAGGTCACAAGCGGCCACGTCGTCCTGGCCGCGGCCTGCCCGCGGGGTCCATGGCGGCCGCGGTGTTCTTCATCCTGGGGCACATCATGGCACCGGCAACGCAGTCTTCGCCTTGTTGTCCTCGCCAAGAACACCCCGCTTCGCCGGCGCGATACCAGAAACCCGTGGCCCGAACTGTTCGGTCGGAGATAACAGGGGCAGGCGAGGGGCGTGCGGACCGCTCAAGCGGGCGCCCTGCGGCCAGAAGCAAGTCGCGCACGCCGGAACGCTGCAGCGCCGAAAGGTAGTGGAGTTGGATTGTTGTTTCTTTGTCTTCAGGTTACAGCAGCACGCTGACAAGCTCTACGACGCAATCGTGAAGCCACTGAGCTACCTCAGACGCCGTGCACACGAGAGGAATTGAAGCGTCCAGCCACGTAGATGGGCTGTCCTGCGGTAAATTGATTACAGAAGTACTTACTTGCAGCGGCAAGCTCAAAACTGAGAAGATGCGGAAGCGCAGGAAAGTGGAGCACTGCGCATCCAGGGACGCTGGACATGGACAGGGACTACCCCGCAGGAGCGGCGGAGGAGACGGAAACAAAAATGGAAAAGATGTCGATGGCGATGCCACTCCGCCACTCCAGGTCAGCAGCTCTGGCGCCCGGCATCCGTACTTGAGCACGCGTGCGTAAAAATGCTGCATGATTTGACCAGAAATCCTATGGGACATCATGCCGGCACTGACAGATTGGGAAGGACGAGGAGGGGGAAGGGCGCGGGGCCCCGCGCCCCCTTCCCGAATGGTGGTGGACTTGGATCGCGGGGCCCCGCGCCCGCACGCCGGTGCGTCGACCTGGCAGCGGCCGAGAACTGCGCCGCGGCATGACCACACGGAGAGGACGCTCTCGCGCGCGCGCACCCGCCGCACCGCTGCTGGCGGCGGCGGGGCTCGCGCGCACATCGGGAGAGTGCCGCCTGCACACACCGGAGAGATCGAGGGCGGGAGGGGAGGCGAGAGGGAACGGGGGGAGGCTCGGGCGAGGAGCGGGGGGAAGGAGAGGGAGGGGGAGGGAGAGGAGGGGGAGGGAAGCGAGAGGGAAGGAGAGGGAAGGGAGAGGAGAGGGAGGGAGAGAGGGGAGGGAAGCAGAGGAGAGGGGAGGGAAGGGAAGAAGAGGAAAAGAGAAGAAGGAGGGAGGAGAGGATACTCGCGCGCGTGCGCGCGCCCCTCTCGCCACTGCTGGCGGCGGCAGGGCGCTCGCGCGCACACGGGAGAGTGCCGCCTGCGCGCGACCGGAGAGATCGAGGGCGGGAGGGAGCGAGGGAGAGAACGCGGGGAGGGCCAGGCGAGGAGCGCGGAAGGAGAGGGAGAGGGAAGGGGAGGGGAGGGAGAGGGAAGGGAGAGGGAAGGGGAGGGAGGGGAGAGGAGAGGGAGGGAGAGGAGGGGGAGGAGAGGGAAGGAAAGGGAAGGGAGGGGAGGGAGAGGGGAGGGAAGGGAGAGGAGAGGGAGGGAGAGGGGAGGATAGGGAAGGAGAGGGAAGGGGGAGGGAAGGGAAGGGAGAGGGAGGGAAGGGAGAGGCAGGGAGAGGGGAGGAGAGGGAAGGAGAGGGAACAGGAGGGAAGGGGACGAGAGCACAGCCGCAGAAAGCCCCGATGCCGGAGCAGAGGCACCAGACCAACGCGGTCGGCGAACCTTTTTTTGTGTCGACGCGGCGCGGCAAAGGCGATGTGCTCGCGCGCGGAGCAGAACCGGGCTGCGGAGCTGCTGAGTGCTCCGCGTGCAGGAGGGGAGGAGAAGGCGGCCGCGGAGGGAGGGGGGGACGCGGGGAGCTCTCTCAGAGACTGGAGGCCGTGGGCCCTGATGGCTCGCGTGGTGCCTCCGCGGGTCCGAGGCGGGCCCCCGCGCGCCACCCTCGGGCTGTCGCGCCGCTCGCTTGCCCCTCTTCTATGGAAAGCCAGCGGCGGTGCCCGTCAGAGCCCCGAAGGCCTCCCGAAGAACAAAATGGCGCACGCGGTCCCCAGTGGAGGCCCCGAGCGCGAGGCACGGGGGTCCCCGACGGGAGGGCCCACACGAGGCGAGCTCGCAACGTCAGGGTCCTCAGCGGCCAGGGGTGCCCAGAGCTCCGAGGTCCAACGCGGCGAAGTCCACGGAACAGACATGCAACGCGTCGAGGTCCAGAACAAGAGGGCCCACGTCAGGATGGCCCACCACCGTCGAGGTGGGGGTTGTCATCGAGGTACAAGATAAGAAAATCCACAACAGGCGGGCGCACGACCGGAAGGCCCAACACGTCGATGTCCACGATAGCGCGACAGGCGGGTACAGAACGACGAAACCCGCTACAGGCGGGCCCGCGACACCGAGGTACACAGCGTGGAAGGCCATGGCGTCGGGGTCCACAGCGTGGAAGTCCACAACGGAAAGGTCCAGAACGTCGGAGTCCATAGCCGGAAGGCCCGCAACCTGTGGGCCCACAGCACGTGGGCCCAGAGCGTCGAAGTTCACAGATAATGGGCCCACAACATCGAAGACCACAAACACAAAACCCACAACGAGCAAGCTCCATGACATGGCCCCCGTGCCCGTCGCCGAAGCCCACGACAGCCGGGCCCGCAACATCGAGGTCCATGACGAACGGGCCCGCACGACCACAACCAACACCGAGGTCCACGGCAGGTGGGCCGACGACGTGTGCGTCCGCGGCCGCCGTCGTCGATCTCACCTTCGCCGTCCGCTGCCGGCGCCGGGGAATCCGCTGCAGCCTCGGTAGCCCCAGCAGCTGGCACGGGCCAGCGGCGGAGACAGCCGCGCAACTCCCGACCGACATGGAGGCATCTTTTCCGGCAAGTGCACGTGCACGATGGGCCTCGGTACGGTCGGGAGCTTTTGCCTCGCGTGTCGGGGCGGCGGCCCCGGCGACACGCTGCCCATTGTGAGCGGATGACATGTCGTTCCGCCAGGCGGGATGGTGGGAAAGGCTCGGGACGTTGACGCTGGGAGGCAGGGAAGTGGATAGCGCGTTCCCTACACCTTTGGCCTTGCGCCGGGCTGTGGAAAAAAACTACATCGTCGTCAGGCGTCGGTCCAGCGTTTGTGCTGTCCGCTTCGCGTTCTCGCAGCTGGGACCCTATGCCATGGCGCCCAGCTGAACGCTGTCCCGCTCCACCAGCTGTCTGCGCAAACGGAGATATCGTCGGTCAATGTTTTCTCTTTTGCCTGAAAAGCACGGTCCGCTCCTCCACTCCGAACCTGGTGGCAAGGTCTTCACTGATGTGCGTAGCCAGCTTGAGAAGAAACACCAGAGACTCATCTGGCAAGCGTCCAACACGCACCATTTTGCGTAGCATGCTGCGCCGTTGCGCTGCGTCGCGCGAAGCTTCCTCTCTGGGTCCGCGGTGAAAATCCAAGCTTCTGGAAGAGCACGCTTCCGGTAATGCGCGCTGCATGCGATGCCGAAGAGGCAGACGACGCTGGCATATAATATCCTTCAAACGGGATGCTGCTACCCAGCAGAGATTCGATGCGCGAGCTCTGTCCCGTGGTCAGTATCCAAATTCAACTCCCTGCCCAAATACTTAATACGATTCCCCCTGCTGCAAAACCAGGGCGTCATGCCCTGTGCATCTCACGCTCGGCGGTCGCGGTAAGGCGTTTGTGAGGATCGCAGCCTTCCTCATGTGCACCTTTTTGAACAGTATTTTCTCTGCTCTGTTTCCACGTATACGATCATTATGGCCACGTCTTTCCTGCTTGAGCACAACAAGAAGACGTCATGCGCAAAGCGGCGGCTCGTGAGAGGTAGGTCCGGGGAATCTGAGTCTATGACAATTCCGTAATGCGGCCCCGATCGGCGTTTGCTCAAGCTCCTACATCTCGCATGCAGCTTCCGGAAGATGATATCCATCACGAGTACAGACAAACAGGAGCTGACAGGGCTGCCCTGCATGACCACGCGTGCAATGTCAAACTGCCTGCCCCTTGTTCTGGCCATCGCTGTGGCCCCCTGCTTCGCGTAGAGTGCCCTCAAGAGTTTGATGTATGGATGCAGGGCACCCTGCTCATGTAGTGCTCCATTGCTCCTAATGTGTCGTGCTCCGCCGTGTCGAATATCTTTTTTTCGAAATCCACCATGCTGACCCAAAATTCCACATTGTAGTCCCTGCAGTCCTCGAAGTGGAAACTCGTGCACAGCAGGTGTTCCACCGCGCTGAAACCCTGCCTGTGCGCCGCCTGGCCAGCCGAATGCCCACGAACAATGCCCACGAACACTAACCCCACAAGCCTTGCGCTGAACATCCCGTTTAATAATTCGCGCAATATTGAAAGGATTGCGATCGGGCGGCCGTTCGAAAGTAGCGTCGGTCCAGGACAAAAACTCGAGAAGACAGTTCCTTTCTAGGGATCTCCTGGGATGGATTCAAAAACTGCGTTGTTGAAGGTCTACAGCACGAGGTTCCGTAGCACGCGGCACTCAACCTTCAACATCTCTGCTCGTATGCCGGAATCGTCTCCAGACTTTCGCTTCTTCACCTGCCGACGACAACAGCTGGCACCCTGTCGCTCCAATCTGTCTCTTACTCGCTCCCTCTGCACCCAGCCATCGTCGTCTGGTAATTTTTTTTTGTGAAACTTCGCGAAGACTTTCGCAAAGACCTGTTTGTCATTGTGCATAGCTCCGTCCTGGCCTTTCATCTCGAACATATAATGTTTCTTGTCCTTGCCAATCAAATTCACCTCCAGCATATGTTGTCTCGAGAGAGCGCGTTTCACGGGCGCTTGCCTTGGGAACAGTCGGCGGCGCGCTTCGAACCGGGGGGTGCCCCCCCCCCCCCAAAACACGCGGCGCCGTCGATACGAACGGGGGGGACTCCCCTCCCCCCTAAGCCCCCCCCTCCCGAACCCCCCCCCCCCAAATCAACCCCCCCCCAAGCCGGCGCTGGCGCTGGCGCTGGCGCTGGCGCTGGCGGCCGCCAGCAGCGCCGACGGCCGGGACGCAGCGACGATGACCAGAGGCAGCCCAAAGGGGGGGCGGGGGTTCCACCCCCCCCCGCTCTGGCGCCAACGCTGGCGTTGGCGGCGACCAGCAGCGCCAACGGCGGAGAAGCAGCGACGATTACCACTACCACCACCACCACCACTACCACCACCACCTCCACCCCAACCCACCACCACCACCAACCCACCACACGACCACCACCACCACCACAGCCACCACCACCATCGCAACCACCACCACCACAACTCACCATCACCACCACCACCACAAAAACCCACCACCACTACCACCACCGCCACCATCTACCACACCACCACCACCACCGCCACAACAACCACAACTACCAGCAGCACAACCCACCACCACCACCACCACCACAAACCACCACACCACCACCACCACACCCACCATCACCACCACCACCAGCACCACCTCCACAAACCACCGCCACCACCGCAACCCACCACCACCACCAGAAACCACCACCACAAACCACCACCAAACCACCACTACCACAACTACCACAACCCACCACCACCACCACAAACCACCACCACACCACAACCAAACCACCACCACCACCATCACCACCCACTACCACAACTACCACCACCACAACAAGCCACCACCACCACCACCACCACAACCACCACCACCGCAACAACCACCACCACCACAACCCACCACCACCACCACCACCGCAACCACTACCACCACCCTCACCACCACGACAAACCACCACACCACCACCGCCACCGCCACCACCACCGGAACCGCCACAACTACCACCACCACCACCAAGAAAACCACTGCATCACCACCACCACCGCCACCATCACCACCACCACCACCACAACCTGCCACCACAACCACCACAACAACAACCACCACCAACACCCACAACCACACCACCACCACCACCGCCACGACCACCACCACCACCACCACCACCACCACCACCACCACCACAGCCCACCACCACCACCACAGCCCACCACCACCACCACCACCTCAGAGAGGCCCCAAGAAGCGCCCAGGAGACTGCACAAATGCCCCTCAGAGGCCCCCGAGAGCCCTCCGATGAGACCCCAAGAGAAATCCTTAGGACTCTGACCCAAAACCAAGGCACGGTGGCGGAGAGTCGTCGTCGTCATCGTCGTCGCCGTCGTCCTCGTCGACGCTCCCTGCCGCCGCCGCTCGCCGCCGCAGGCGCTGGCGCCGGCCCAGAAAAGGAAATCGTCGTCCCCGCCGCCGCCCGCCGCCAGCCGCCGCCGACGCAGGCGCTGGCCCGAGGAGAGGGAGAGAGGAGAAGTAGGGGAGGAGAGGGAGGGGAGAGGGGGGGGGGGTCGAAACCCCCCCCGTCCGTCACGGGAGGGGGGGGGGGTTGGAACCCCCCCCCCCTCCTCCATCTCAACGGGGGGGGGGGGTCCGGTTCCAACCCCCCCCCCCTCCAAGCGACCACAGAACGCGCTCTTTCGTTGCTTCCTGTCTTTAGCCGAGGCCACGATGGCGCCTCTGGAGGCCCAGCAAATCGCAAAAAACGTCGAAAACCTCGACGGCGACAACAGAGGCGATGGCAGCGACGACGACGCCCACCACGACGACCGCATCAGCTGCGACGGCGACGACGGCGACAACGACGACGAAAACGACCACGAATGCGATGGCGGCAGCGAGAACGACAGCGGCGATGACGATGATGACGACGACGGCGAGGACGGCGGCGGCGACGACCACGGTGACGAGCACCGACGAAAAACGACACGAGGACGGAGGGCGCGTTGACCTGGCCGCAGGCCTCGATCTCCCCGGCCTGCGGTCTGGCGCCCTGCCCCCGGCCGTGGAGGCCGAACATCACCTGGCCGCGGGAAGTGAGAGGGCGGGGGGCGCGTGCGGAGGGGAGGTCCTCGGCAGGTCTCGGACGTTTTCGTCAGCTCTGGGAGTTTGTCTCGCCTCGGGGTGCCTTTCAGCAGCCGCGCCTCGCCAGAAACTCTACGGGGGCGCCCATGGTCGTCCCGAGCGACCGCTCGGGGCCTGAGTTATGTCTCCGAAGACCACTAGGCGTCGGGCTGGAGCAGGACTGGTGTGAGGGGAGAGGGGGGAGGGGACAGACAAGGTGCACTCCCGCCATACCTGGTGGGCGAGAGTGCGATGGGCGGGGACAGGTTCAAAATTATGGGCTCCGAGCGCCCCGATGAGAAGGGGCTCCGAAGAGGCCTCAAAATGCCCTGAGGGTACCAAGACGGCCCAATCGGAACGGTATCGCTACTTCTCCCTCCTCTGACTGACGACGACGTCGACGAAGACAAGACGACAGGACGACAACGACAAGACGACGACGACGACGACGACGACGACGACGACGACGACGACGACGACGGCGGCGGCGGCGGCGGCGGCGGCGGCGGCGGCGGCGGAGGCGGACGACGGACGACGGACGACGGACGACAGACGACGGACGACGGACGGACGACGGACGACGGACGACGGACGACGACGACGGCGGCGGCGGCGGCGGCGACGACGACGACGACGACGACGACGACGACGACGACACGACATCGACGACGACGACGACGACGACGAGGGTTTGAAGTGAATTGCCCCCAGAAGTTCTGTCAACAAAAAGGGGATAAGGGCAGAGACTTTCCATAGCGTGTCGCGACAGCGACCCCAGCGGGACGCTATGCCTGGCGAGCGTATAGCGTGTCGCTCAACCCCGCGGGGCGGGAAGCTGGGAAATGCTCGAGACGTGGACGCTTGGGGACGGGGGAGTGGATAGCGTGTCGCGCCGCAGCGTGGTGGGCCAGAACCAGCGGAGTGACACTCTATCCAAACATTCTAACCGTAAGGCCGATGCTCCTCAGGACGTGTGTCAGCGCCAAGGCATGCTCGTCCATCGAGGCCCTTCAGCACGAAGCAGGCGGTGCAACGAGGGCTGGCGCAGGCGGAGCAAGAAAAGCACACCGGGATCGAATTCGCTCAGAGTCGGACCCTGGGCGCCTCCTGGAGTCAAGTCTTGATCTATTGCCAGCGCAATCTTGGAGGGGAAGAGAGGGCGGGCGGCACCACGATACAACACCGCCGACGCCCGTGAAATCATGCAGCCGCGCACGGCAAAGTCGCGGGAGGAGAAAGAGGAGAGGGAGGAGAGGAGGGAGGAGGGAAGGGAGGAGGGGAGGGAGGAGGGAAGGGAGGGGCATGAGACCACTCCAGGGGTCCATCTTGTGCAGTTCTTCGCCCTGGATTTGTTTTTGACAGTCCCGCGGGGCCCGAAGACGGCCCCTGAGGCCGAAAAAGACCTCCTCGAACCTAGAACCTCGAACCTCGCCCCTCCCCCTCCTGCTCGCCGGAACCAATGCTGGGCCACCTCAGACGCCTAGCCGGTTCCAAGCCCGCCCCGCCTGTCTGCCGCGCGACTCTAGGCGCTCCATGCGCCGCAGCTCCGAGGCGCCCGCGCCCTCGTCGCTGCACCTTCGGCGGCCGCCGCGCGCTGGCGCTGGCGCTGGCGCTGCCGCCGCCGCCGCGTTCGACATCATCGCCTTTGTAGCAAGAGCCGGGGTCACGCCCCACACCAAGGGGTGCTGCGGAGGCAGAGTGTCGGGGTCGTCGGCGCCGCCAGGGGCGGGGCCGCCATGGGCGTCGCCAGCCTGCTCCGGATCGTCACCGCTACGCGCGTCAAGCATGCGGCGTTGCACCGCACGCTGAAAACACTGTACGCGGAAAGCCAAGGTCGCGACCCGCTGCACCACTGCGCGGGCAGCGTCACTGGCGCGCCGCCGCGGTCGTCGCGGTCGACGCCGGCGCAGTCGTGGTCACTGGCGTTGCTCAGAAGAGGACAGCAGACGGTAAGGGCATTGGACCAATTGGATAAGGATTGACTGGGTAAGGAACACAGGATCTGGAAGCCTGGATGCCAGTGGAACTCCTATCGTGGATTGGCCATGAAAATCACCGCCACCCTGATCAGATAAGGAATCCTCTAGGGTCTGAAGCCTCTTGGGAACATTCCTTAACCAGCGCCCCCACCGTACCGATACCGCTGCAATTCCCTTGCCGCCACGGCCGAATTCGCCTCGAAATTCGGGTCAGAACGCACCCCGGGAGGTCCGGGGAGCAGCGATATGGGTACTATTTTGCCCCTAGTTGCCGCTGGCGCAATCTCCGTCGTCGTCATTGTCGCTGGCGCAGCCTCGATCGGCCCAAATCTCCGACGATATGTTTCCCTTCTCCACGCGAGGCGACTATTCGTCGGAACGCTCCATACAAAATGGCACATCGTGCCTCGCCTCCGCCGTGCCTCCGAGGAGCCCACGACCGTGGCGACAGATTCGCAGTTCGCAACCACCCAGGGAGCCGCGAAGTCTCAACGCAATCTGCGCTGCCCTCACCTCCGCCGTGCCTCCCAGGAGCACACAACAATGGCAACAGTTGCACAGTTCGCAGTCACCTATGAAACCTAGGGGGCCGTGAGGTCCCCTCTGGGTCGGCGTACCGCTCCACTCCGCTGGACCTCCCAGGAGCCCACGGAAGTGGCCACAGTTGCGCAATTCGCAGCCACCATGGGAGCAGCGAGATGCCGTCTGGCTCAACGTACAACTCCACTCCGCTGGACCTCCCAGCCCACGAAAGAGGCGAGAGGTGCGTAGTTTCCAGCCCCCGAGGGAGCTGCGAGGTCTCGGTTGGGCCCGCGTACGCCTGCACCCCGCTAGACCTCCCAGGAGCCCACGACAGTGGCGACGGTTGCGCAGCTCGCAGCCTCCCCGGGAGCAGCGCAGGAGGAAGGAGGTGGGGGGAGGAGGCGGAGTGGAGACCACAGCGCTCTATTCAAAACGAGAACCCAACACAGGAAGGTTGGGGAAAAACATACCGTTGGACGTCTGCGGACGTCATTGTCGCCTGTGCAGTCGCCGCCGTCGCCGTCGTCGTCGTCGCTGGCGCCGTCGTCGTCGTCGTCGTCGCTGGCGACTTCGTCGCCGCCGTCGTTGCCGTCGCCGCTGCTGTCGCCGTCGCCGTCGCCGTCGCCTCCTGCGGGTCGCTGGGCCTCCACTCCCCTGGGGTGTGCGCGTCGTGGGCGGCCGTCTCGGCCGCACCCGTGCGGGGTGGAGGGCTCACTGGGCGCTTGGAAGCCCTGCAGGGCATACCGTTCGACATGCCTGGACTATCGCGGGGGACGAAGGGGAAGGATAGCAAAGGGCAGGGTAGAGAATCAGCCTGCGGAGCTGGTTTTCCAGGCGCCCGTGCATCGAGGAATGGGCTCGGCGGCGGGGCCGAAGGCAGCTGCATGCAGCAAATCTCGTACCCCCCCTCTCGTCCGGCCTGGGGCTAAGCCCAACCCCCTTCGGACAGGTGCGAGCTGTTTCCTTCAGTCTGACCTCTGGGCGGGTCCTCTGCTGGTTCTGGCGCCTCTGGCAGGAGACGGGTCCCAGGGCGCCGCCGACGGGCTCCGGCGGGGGGCAGCCGGGAGCACAAGCGGGGACGCGACACGCCGAGCAAGAGAAGTAACATCCATCGCGGTGCCGCTCCCTGCCGCGTCCGCGTGCGGTAGCCGACGGGGTGTCGGCCCCGAGAATGGGGGTGCTCGGGGCCAAGCGGCTCTCTAACAATACTAATGAAAGGTGCCCTCGGATCCGGGGTGGAGCTGCGCGGATGGACCGTGGGCTGCCTCCAACTGGTGTTGCGAAAAAGAAGTAGCCCTGGGAACCCGCCTTTGTCGATCCCTGTCGTGTTAGAGGGTCCGGCATCCGAGCGCGGTGGTTCCGCCTTGGTTCCACGACGGCTCCGACGCTGCAAGCCGACGAAACCTGTTATGAAGTCGCAAGGTTCCTGCTGAGTTCCACGATGGTACCGCGATGGTTCCGACGGTGCGAGCGGGCCACCGGCGCCTCCCGCAGCAAGTCACCATCATCATGACCGCCACGGCGGCGAAGACAAACTCGCAGCGGGGTGACACGAGACGAGTGGGCGCTGCACACCCAGAGCTGACTGCCGTGCCCTCATCATTCCTGCCGCATGCTCTTGTCGGCTCTTAGCTCGCAAGGGGTGGCGCACAGGGGGGGAGAGAGAGAGAGAGAGAGACAACAACAAAAAAGAAAGAGTGAGAGAGAGAGGGAGAGAGAGGGAGAGAGAGGGAGAGGGAGAGAACGAGACATATCCTGAAGGAAAAAAGATCTTGGACTGGTGGACCCACAGGCCTTCCCGCAGGACCAGCTTCTCATCCAGAGTCGTTTTCGGACAACCTTGGGGAATGCGGAGGTCCAGAGCGGTCCAATAAAGCGAAAAACCTCTGGACCCGTGCCCCTCAGGACCGGTCTGCTTCATGGCGAAGGGTGGGAGCGGGAGGTTCTCGCTGACTCGTTCGACCTGGTCAAACTGATCTTGCTGGTGTTGCTCCCGCCTGCGGCTTCCTGGTCCCTCCTGGTGACTCCGGCGGCTCTGGGGGTCTCCACGGAGGGGAAGGAATTGGAGGAGGAGGGGGAGGACGAGGAGGACGAGGAGGAGGAGGAGGAGAATGACAAGGAGGAGGGAAGAGGAGGGGGTGGAGGACGAGAAGGCCAAAGACTAAGACGATAATAGGAGGGAGAGGAGGAAGAGGAGGGGGAGAGGGACGAGGAGGTAGCTTATGAGGAGGCACCGGAGGAGAGGGAGGAGGAGCAGGGGGCAGGAGGACCAGGAGGGGCGGGAGGAAGAGGAGGAGGACGGAAGGACCTCCGGAAGACATCTTATTCTGCTTCGGGCCATCCCCACCGAAACCTTCAGCGTTTGTTCCCGACGGCTCACGGTCGCCTAGTTACGCTGCACGCGGGGCCCTGCGGTCTCGGCCAATGCGGCGGTCGGGCCGGGTGGCGAATTTCGTTGTCTCCAAGTCCAGCAGCCCCAGAGCTCCTGACGAAAGAAATTGAAAGAAACCCGGGGGCGAAAACACAAGCATCGAAAACGTGCGGTGCGAAACGGATAGAGAACTGCAGCCTGTTGAAAGAGGAAGAGGAAGAGCATCAGCAGGAGGAGCATGAGGAGGAGGAGGAGGCGGACGACGAAGGAGGAGGAGGAGGAGGGAGGTGAGGCGGACTTCTCCTCCCTACTTTTCCTCCTTCTCCTCCTCCTCCTCCCACCACTGCACAACTGCCGCTTCTGGATCCCAGAATGGTTCAACCGTGTTCCCTGTAGTCACGTTTCTTCACGTTCTGCTCAATTATGTTCTGTTATGTTCTCGACGGGCCAGCGTGACGTTGTGACGCCTGTGACGTTAAATTCGCCATCTGTTATGATGTTCCTCTTAACTCACATATTTCTGTTCTGAATGAGTCTGTTATGCTATGCTCATCTCTGTTACCATGTGACTTGACATAATATGGTATGATCTGCTCTGCCACGCTATGTTATGACATGCTCTGCCAAATCAGACTGTGCTATGGTATGCTCTGTTCCGTGATGCTGTTCACAGGTCGGCTCAGTAGAGTATAGTATGATCTGCTGTGCTAGTATGTGTCGCTATGCCTGGCGGTCGTGGTATGACATGGTCTGCGGTTCTGTCCTGATATAGTATGATATATGTTGTTAAGGTGTATTATTGTATGTTCGGTTTTGTTATGCTAGGTTGTGTTATGTCGTTTTTTACTTTATGTCATGTTCTGCTATGGTATGTTATGAGATGTTGTGTCTGTTGACGGCTCGGCTCTGTATGGGGTATTATATGTTGCTCTTCTAGTATGTGTCGCTATGCTCTGCTGTCGTGTTATGATATATTATGTGACGCTGTGTCATGATATGATCTGGTATGCCAGGGTATACCGTGTTATGCTCGACTCCGTTGTATGATGTTGTGTTATGTCGTCTTCCGTTCTGTCATGTTCAGCTCTGGAATGTTATGTGATGTTCTCTTATGTTCTACTTTGGCATGCCATTGCTATGTTATGTTATGTCACGTGTTGTCATGCTCATAATATGTGCTGTCATGATCTGGTGATTCATGTTGTGTTATGTCGTGTTCGTCGTCGCTATGCTCTCCTGCCGTGGTATGATACGTTCTGTGGTGCTGTGCCATGCTGTGCTCTGTTCTGTCAAGGTGGATGATGTTATGCTCGGACTGTTATGTTACGTTGTGTTCTGTCGTCTTTTCTGTTATGCCATGTTCTGCTCTGGTATGTTATGTGATGTTATGTTATGCCCTACTTTCGCATGCCATTGCTATGTTATGTTCTGTCACTTCTGGCATGCTCGTATTATGTGTTGTCATGTTATGGTGGTTCATGTTGTGTTCTGTCATGTTCGTCGTTGCTGTGTTCTGCTGCCATGATATGATACGTTCTGTGGTGCTGTGCCATGCTATGATCTGTTCTGTCAAAGTGGATTATGTTATGCTCGGACTGTGATGTCACGTTGTGTTATGTCGTCTTCTGTCATGTCATGTTCTGCTCTGGCATGTTATGTGAGGTTCAGTTATGCTCTATTTTGGCATGACATTGCTATGTTCTGTTCTGTCATGGTATGTCACAATAGTGTTCTCTTCTGTCATGTTCTGTTGTGTCATGTTGTGTTCTGTCGTGTTCGTCTTCGCTATGCTCTGCTGTCGTGATATGATACGTTATGTGATGAAGTGTCATGATATGATACGTTATGTCAAGGTGTGGTATGTTACGCTCGGCGACGTCATGTTATGCTGTGTCATGTCATGGTATGTAGTGTCATGTTGTGTTGTGTTATTGTATGTGATGTTATGGTATGCTCTATGTTGTCATGGCATGGCTATGTTCTGTTCTGTCATGGTCTGTCATGCTCGTGTTCTGTTGCGTCACCTTATGTTGCGTCATGGTGTGTTCTGTCGTGCTCGTCGTCGGTGTGTTCATCTGTTGTGTTATGATAGGTTTCGTGATGCTGTGTCACGATATGAAATGTTATGTCAAGGTGTGGTATGTTATGATCGGTGGTATGATGTTATGTTGTGTTATGTTGTCTTCTGTTATGACATGTTCTGCTCTGGTATGTTATGTGATGTTATGCTCTACTTCGTCACGATATTGATATGTTGTATTCAGTCATGTTCTGTCATTCCCTGTTCCGTTCTGTCATGTTCTGTTCTGCCATGTTGTCTTTTGTCGTGTTCGTCGAGGGCGCGAGGTAGGACATCCGGGATTCTCGGGGATCACCGGGACAACTTGGGGACTTGCGGCCGCGGTATGAAGGGTGGGGTTGGCTGGTCGCGAGGCGGGACACCCGGTACTCTCGGGGACCATCGGGACAACTTGGGGTTTGGAGGCCGCGGTTTGGTGGGGTTGGCCGGGAGGCCTGTTCTTGAAAGATAACAGCCCTAACCTGTCAGGTGGGGAACAAAAGGAAGGGGCTGGATGGCCCGTCGTCGGACTTGGCAGGTGCCGTCGTCGTAGCAGAAAAAGGAGGGAGGAGAAGGAGTAGTGGAAGAGAAGAGCCGATGCTGGAGAAGACTGAGGAAGCAGCATGGCATTCAACGGAGGAGGAAGGGAAGGAGGAAGGAGAATGAGGAAGAGAAGGAATGTGGAGCAATAGTGCGAGAGGAAAAGGAAAAAGGGTGAATAGGACAAATGATGGACAGGAGAGGGAGTAGGACGCCCACCGTGCAATCATACGGACCGCCAAATGAGGAAAGAAGAGCTTCTCTGGCCGCAGCGAGCATCAGCTACGAATAAGCTCCCCAGTCCAGATCTGGGAACAGCCCGGCAACCAACCCCTCCCGAACCTCACAACATGTTTATGTGTATGCTTCAGCGTTTTGGTCTTGGGGTGAAGAGAAGCGGTGCGTGAGAAGGAGGTCGCGTCACGGCATCCCTATGAATGAAATGTATCCGTGTCAATCTACAACTCCGCGGGGGAAAAACACATAATAGTAATGCTAGGACGCATGCGCCAATTACATGCACATCTGTGCTGCATCTTCTAAGATTAGCGAACCCAGGTGCTGCATCTCCAGCAGGAGGAAGGAAGAGGTGGAGAGAGGGAGGGAGCGAGCGAACCCTGGACGGGCGGTTCGGCGCGGGTGGCCCACGCGGCTTCTCTCCCTTTCTCTCGGGTGGCCCACGCGGCTTCTCTCCCTTTCTCTCTCGCTCTCTCTCTCTCTCTCTCTTTCTCTTTCTCTATCTCTGTATAGATATGTATACATATGTGCGTATTTTTATGTATATATATATATATATATCGCATTTGCTGAGATCCGCCCTACTTCAAACCCGACGGCCCCCAAGGTGAGCTCCAGAGGCCTCCGGGACGGTCGAAATACGATCCCCCAAAAGGTCCCCCAGACAACCCATGCGGCTCCCAGGAGGGACCAGCGGCCCCTCACTGGCCTCGAAGACTGCCCCAGGGCTGCTCCAAGACGGACCAATATCGTCTCCAAACAGCCGCGAGACCCCTTCAGCCGACTCCAAGACCCCCCCAAAAACACCCAAGTCTCCCCAAAGGAAACGAATACTTCCCCCAAAAAGCCCCAAGAGTCTAATCCTGGTAGGCCCCAAAAGGATCCCCCAAAGGGCCACAAAACGCTTCGAGCCCATACCCCCGAACACCTTCACTGGTTGGGAGATTTGTTTGCTAATTTCCCCCCAAGAGGCCCGCCGTCACTACCGCTTTGCGGGCTCAGCACCTGTGCTTGTCCACGCTGGCCGCTGATCTTTGACGTCTCATGTGCCGCATGTGCGAATGCACCAGACGCACATGCCGACACACACACACACACACACACACACACGCACACACACACACACACAAATCGCATGCGCCACATCCCGTGCAATCGTACATTTTGTGCGTTTCGGTTAGTCATGGCGAGCCCAAACGATACGGTGCCTACCGCACAGACGCCGTGCACGCATATAAATCACACGCCGGGAAACCATGTGCGTTCAGATGCCTTGCCGCTCTTACTCTTCCACCACCACTTCACCTTTACATCGCGAGCCGTCGGCAAGGGTGAGCACTGCATTGGGTGAGCGCTGTGTCGGCCACCGAGATAGGCAATTGGGGACAGCTGAAAGCGAAGCAGAGGCCAATGCTGCCGAGGGAGCCAACGTAGGCAACATGCACGTACGCGCACACACACACGCACACATACACACACTCTCACACACAAGCACTCACACACACACACACACACGCCCGCGCACAAAAAAAACCGCACGCACATACGCACACGCACATTCACAAACACACGCGCGCACGCAAGCACACACACACATACACATACACCCGCACACACAAACAGACCTGCACGCACACAAACGCGCACGCACGCACGCACGCGCACACACGCACGCACACGCACACACCCACACACACATACCCGACCACACACACACACTCACGCACACGCGCACACGCGAAGACGCACAGAAACACACCCGAACACACGCACACACACACAAGGACACACGAATGGACACACGAACACACACACACACATACACACACACGAACGCGCACACGCACGCGCGCACGCACACGCACACGCACACACACACACACGCACACACACACACACACACGCAGACACGCACACGCACGCATGTGCACACGGGTGCATGCACGCACGCACACGCGCGCGCGCACACGCACCCACGCGCGTACGCACGAACGCATGCGCGCACGCAGACGAAGACGCGCATGCACAGCCACACACACACACACACGCACACACACACACACACACACACGCACACGCACGCACGCGCACACACACGCACGCACACACACACACACGCGCACGCACGCAGGCATTTTTCTTGGTTCGCGGACGCAAGCGATCAGGCGTCTGTCGAGCAAACGGCGGGGCGCACCGAAGCGAATTGAGGCACGAAGGCGCGGGAAAACCGCAGCGGCGGAACAGAAGGAGGCTGGTCTGAATTTTTAGTTCTTCATGGGCGTGACGGAACCGTGCAGCCACGAGAGGCCCGCGTAGGGGAAGAGGCCGTGAGAGGAAGACCATGCAGTCGTACCGTACTGAAGGCCTGGAATGAGCGGGGTCCTGGGACAGGGCCTGGAGTGTTTGTAATGGAAATCCTTGTCAGAGAACGCTAGGGACTTGAACGGGCCGGCCTCGGAGAGAAAAGAGCAGACCCGAGCACCGACGCGGGTAAGCACGATTCGAACTCGACGGGGGGGCCGAACAAGATGAGCGGCCAGCCATGCCGGACGAAACCAGCGGATCAAAATGCTGGGGAAAACGAAACCACGGGCCCGTCAGACTAGGAAAGCATCGACAATCGCGTGTCAAAAGACGCACAAACACGCACGCACGCACGCACGCACGCACGCACGCACTCATACATACACGCACACGCACGCACACGCACACACACACACACACACGCACACGCGCACACACACATACACACACGCAAGCCCACACGCACACACGCACAAGCACACACTCACACACACACACACACGCACGCACTCACACACAGACACACACACACACACGCACGTGTTTTAGCGGTAGCGGCCTCGCGCGCGGCGTCGCGGCAGAGTAAGTAGCAACGCAAAGCGCTCGGTCGCGGCTGGGCCCTCAATAATCACTTTGGATTCGACGCGCCGACCGTCATCAACCATCCCGGCGTTGATGGCAGGGAGGTGACACGCCCGCCGAGGGCCCTGCCCAGAACGGCGGAATAAGCAGCGGAAGTACACACACACACACGCACACACACACACACACGCACAGACGCACACACGCGCACACACACACACGCACACACACACACACACGCACGCACGCACGCACGCACGCCCGCCACGCACGCACGCACAAACACACACACACACACACACACACATTCACACACGCATTCATCGGGCGCCGCGGGCGTAGAAGGTCGAAAATAAGCAACTGCGCGCTCGTCTAAGCTCGCCCGAGCCCTCAAAAACCAATTAGGGTCCCGCAGCCGCCAGCAACCGTACCGGGCATGGACGGCAAGGGGTCGGTGAAACGACGAAACTACGGTGGTGTGGAAGGTGCCGTGGGCCAACCGGGACTGAAGGCGGGGGGGGGGCGAGTTCGCAGGGTGGAGCGACAATGAGACCAAGACCGACCTGGATGGCAGGGGGGGCAATGGAAGGACGGGACTACGGTGTGGTGGCAGGGCAGGAAGGCGGTGGGGCACGAAAACGCAAACCAGAGTGACAAGGAAACCAACGTAGCAGCAGAGGTGGCGCCGACATTCCCCCCCCCCCCACACACACACCCAGACACACACACACACACACACACACACACACACACACACACACACGCGCACGCACGCACGCACGCACACACACACGCACGCACGCATGCACGCACGCACGCACGCACGCACGCACGCCCACACGCACGCACGTACACGCATGCGCGCACGCATACACGCGCACGTGCACACGCAAGCACGCGCGCACCCATGCATGCACGCGCGCGCACGCGCGCACGCACGCGCACACACGCACGCGCGCACGCATTCACACGCGCACACACGCACACACGCACGCGCACACGCATACGCACACTCACGCACGCACGCACGCACACGCACACACACACACACACACACACACACACACGCACGCACGCACGCACGCACGCACGCACGCACGCACGCACGCACGCACACGCACACACGCGCACACGCACACACACACACACACACACACACACACGCGCAATCAAAAACACACACGCACACACACAGGTTGTTGGGTCCGCGAACTCAAGCGATCAGGCGTCGGTCGAACAAACAGCGGGGCGCACCGAAACGAATTGACAGACGAAATCGCGGGAAGACCGGCAGAGAGGAACAGAAGGAAGCCCCGGTCAAAACATGCAGTTCTTCACGGGCGTGCTGGAAGCGTGAAGCCACGAGAGGCCCGCGTAGAGGAAGAGGCCGTGAGTGGAAGACCTTGCAGTCGTACTGAAAGCCCGTAATCGGCGAGGTGCTGGAACAGGACCAGGAGTGCTTGTAGTGGTAATCTTTGTCGGGGGACGTTGGGAGGTTGAACGGGCCAGCCTTGGAGAGGAAAGGGCAGACTCGAGCACCGCCGCGGGTAAGCACGATTGGAGCTTGACGGAAAGGCCGCCGAACAATATGAGCGGCCAGAAGCCCGCCATGCCAGACAAAACTGGCGGATCAGAATGCCAGGATGAAAGGAACCACGAGTCCGTCAGACTAGGAAAGCGTCGATCGCTGTGAACCGAAAGTAGGCATAGAGGGTCCAAAGCCGCGCCCAATAATGACGCCGGGTATGAGGAAGGAGCAGCCAGGGGCCAAGGAGCAACGGTCCGAAGGCCAGGGACAAGGGAGCGGACGCACTTGTCGAACAGCTCCTTGAAAGACACACTGGCACACCCGCAGACACTGGCACACACGCGCACGCGCACACACACACATTCACACACACACACACACACACACTTGTCGGTCGTCCGCAGGCGGACGCAGCGCCACGCAGTCCAAAGGAGTCGCCGACGCGCGCGTGCTGGAAGGGGGAGGAAGCGGCGGGCCCCTCACGGGGCAGAGGCAAAGCAGCGGTCGGGCCAGCGGGGGCAGGGGTGGCGGGCAACGACCCGAGCAAGGTGTCCAACAGAGTTGGGCGGGCGAGTGGAGGGGGGGGGAAGGGCGCCCCATGGGGCCAAGAGCGGGCTCGCCTCCCGCGTGCACCGCACGCGAGTTCTCCAAGGCGTGCCACGCACACATACACAAACACAAAACACACACAAACTCACACAAACACAAACACACACACACACACACTCACACACATACGTGCACATACAAACATACACACACACACACCCTTGTTAGGCGTCGCGGCCCCACGCGCGGTGGCGCGGCGTAGACTGCCGACGGAGGCGAGCGCGTGGCCAGGCCAGTTCACGCGGACGGGGGACCAGGGATCCGCCCGGAGGGGAACGACCGGGCCACTCGCGAGGGGACACGAAGGGAGCGGTGAAGGAGGGGGGTGAGGGGATGAGTGGCGGCAGGTGGACATGGAGCGCAGTGCGTGGGTCAAGAAGGGCACAGCGCGGTAGTGCAACAGCACATCGATGAGGTGGAGGAGCGACAGGCAGAAAGCGCGACCACGGCAGAGGTGGGAGTGAGCGGGGATAAAACAAGTGCCAGGGCGTCAGGGAGGTGGAGTGACAGTGCAAAGAGGGCAGACACACACACACACACACATACACACACACACGTACACGCGCGCGCACACGCACGCCCACGCACACACACACACAAGAGCACACACAACACACACACACACACACACGCACATCGAACACCAGAGCATGCAACTGGCAAGTGGCCTGCACGAAACGCGTCACGGCCGCATCCTCGTCGCCAGAGTGGAAGTCTTCCACTTGCGTGAGCGAGAAGAACAGGTCCTCTGAACGGGGGAACGGAAGGCCAGAGCATAATGTTCTGCAATCAAGGCGGGTAAGCCAGCCTTTGCGGTGACTCTGGACACGAGTGACCAGAACCTTCATCCCCCGTATCCTGCGAATCGGAGCCCCTTTCAGTGTATACTTTGGGGCCAGGGCGAGAAGCTTGAGCAGCCATGCCGGGAGCACGCCTCGCGCGAGGGGGAGGCGTGGAGAACGCCCTCCAGGGGAAAAGCGCTGAACAGATGATTCACACTCAGAGGCTCCAACATTGCAAGCGGTTGGAGTGGACGTAAGATAAACAACCACTCGCCCGAACTTGTTAGCGGAGACTGCCAAGCCCTGCCAATCTAGGGAGCAAGACGGGAGACATCGGAAGACATGTCCCGGAACTTGTCTTGGCCAAGATCATCGAGGCCACACCCGCCGTCCGTCCTCCCTCGCCTTCTCCTCCCTCAAATATTATGTGGCATCTTCAGGGAACCTCGTCTGTCCCGTGGCACCGCTGTCCGCGTTGAATCCGTGTCGAGTGCGTCGAATCCGCATCGAATCCGTGTCGACTCCGTGTCGAATCCACGTCGAATTCACTTCGAATCCGCGTCACACCCATGTCGGAGCACAAGAAGACTGTAATTCACAGGACAGGAGAAGCCCCCCCCGAAGATGCAGCGTAACAAATCGACCACCCGAGCTTTCCTGGGGCGTGCTCTGAACGGGACCCAAGAGTCCCCCCAAGAGGCCCCTGGAGGCCCCCAAGAGGCCCCCAGGAAGACTCGACAGGCCCTCAGGAGGCGCTCAAGAGACCCCCAAGAGGCTCCTGAAGACACAAGAGCCCCCCACCCCTTCGTCGTCCACCTGTTCCATCTCCCTGTCCTCCTCGCATACAGGGTCGGCGGCACCAGGGGTAACGCCTTCACAATCGACCCCTCCGAGCTTTCCTGGGGCGTGCTCTGAACGGGATTTCATGGCGAACCCCGCCAAAGGCGACGGGAGCCCCTGGCCCCAGAGCCCCCGCCCAGAGGCAGAAGCGCAGTCGCAGTTCCCCGTCGGCCTCCGAAGACCCCCCCGCAGTCCTTCGGCCAACGAAGACGGCCGCAGGGGGGGTGACCCAAACCCCCACCCCCACCAATTGCCACCCATCACTTCTATCCCCCTCCCCCTCCCCATGCCTGTCACCGAATCCAAGATGCCGAGGACTGCGGGTCGTCCGCGGCCTCCCCTCCCCCTTCCTACCCTCCTCCCGGCGATCCAGACGTGATTTTTTTTTTTTTTTTTTTTTTTTTTTGTTTCTGACCGCAGTTCTTTGTAGACGCTTCGAGGGAACTAGCGCCTCCTCGCGATCCTCAACCAGTGTCCAGCACTCCGGAAAGATGCATCCAGAAAGATACAGTACAGTGGCTGATTGAGCCCAATGTGGTCTTGAGACTTATCTGGTCTTAAGCCAAAGCGGTTTTGCGTCTCCTCCCTCCTCCCTCACTTCGGCACCCACTTCCGCACTCGACATCGACACCGCAGAGTGATCGGGTGAGGAACGTTTGCTTGGCGTGTCGCGGCGGAGGCCCCGGCGACACGCTACCCCCTGCGAGCTGACATCGTGTCGCTCTGCATCGCGTGGCGCGAGGCTGGGAAATGCTGGAACGTTGACGCTTGAGGACTGGGACGTGGTTAGCGTGTTGCGCCGAAG